TCCAATCAGCTTTTGTTGAAGCGACTATTGAGCTACATTGGCTTCTTTGTTGAAAACAACTGACTGTACAGGTTGTGGGTCTGCTTCTGGGCTCTACTCTGTTTCATTATGTTATATATCTATTCACACATCAATACCATATTGTCTTGTTCATTGTATTCTATTGAATGTGTTGAAACAGAGTATGAATTCTCCAAATTTTCCTTTTTTTTTTTTAAGATTTGATTATTCTATAGACTTTGCATTTCCTTTACATTTTATAGTCATCTTGCCAGTTTCAACAGAAAAATCTTCTAGGATTTTGATAAGGATTGTATTGTTCTGTGTCAATTTGGGGAGAATTGACATCTTAATATGGAATCATCTGATCTATATTCTGTTTCTTTGTTTCTTTTCTTTTCCTTCCTTCCTTCCTTTGTTTCTCTCTCTCTCCTCCTCCCCTCCCCTCTCTTCCCCTCCCTCCCTCCCTTCCTGCCTTCCTTCCTTCCTCCCTTCCTTTCCTTTTCTTCTTCATCAGTCTGCCTGGAGATTTGTCAATTTTACTGATATTTTTCAAAAAACTAGTTTTTGGTTTTATTTTTATATTTTTGGTTTCATTGATTTCTGCTTTTAGCTGTTTATTTTTTCCTTCCTTCTGCTTACTTTGGGTTTAATTTGCTTTCCTTTTACTAGTCTCTTAATGAGGAAACTTATTTTTGTGAGATTTTTCTTTTCTCTAATTTAGCAGTGTTTGTCAACATCAGCACTGCTCACATTTGGGGCTAGACAATTCTTTGATGTGGTGGCGGTCCTATGTATTATACGATGTCTAGCAGCATTCCTGGCCTGTAACACTAGATATCAGTGACACCCCTCCTCAGCTGTAACAACCCAAAGTGTCTTCAGACAGTGCCAAATGTCTTGGGGTTGGGAGGATTGTTCTTGGTTGAGAACCACTGCTATATTAGGCACTTAATACTATAAACTTCAGCTGTGTCCCAAAAATTTTGACATGTTTTTCATTTAGCTAAACAGTATTTCTTAAGTTTCTTAAGTTTCCTTTGTGATTTCCTCTTTGGCCCATATATTAGTACTTTATTGCTTTAAAAATTTTTATTTTATTGGGGCTTTTTTTTTTTTTTTTAAAGAGACAGGGTCTTCCTATGTTGTCTGGGTTGGCCTTGAATTCCTGGGCTCAAGTGATCCTCTCACCTCAGCCTCCCGAGTAGCTGAGACTACGGGTGTGTGCCATCATGCCCTGCTGACCCATACATCATTTTGAAGTGTATTTTTAGTTTCCAAATACTTGGGAATTTTCCAGAAATATTTCTTTGATTGATTTCTAATTTAATTCTTTTATGATCTGAGAATATGCTTTTTATGGTTTGTATGGTTTTTTGTATGGTTTCAGTATGCTTTGTATGGTTTCAGTTTTTTAAAATTTGTTGATATTTTGTTGTGTTTTATGGTCCTGTATATGGTCTATTTTGGGGAATGTTAAGTGTGTACTTGAGAATAATGTCTATCCTGGTATTCTTGGGTGAAGCTGTCTATAAATGTTAATTGGTTCAAATGAGTTGATAGTGCTGTTCAAGTCTTTTATATTCTTACCCTTAACTTTTCTCTCTACCGTCTTCATCAATTACTGAGAAGGAATCTCCAACCATAATTGCGGATTTGTCTATTCCTCCTTTTGGGTCTGCTTTTTGCTTTATGTGTTTTCAAACTATTGCCAACACCTACACATTTAAGATAGTTATGCCTTCTTGATGAACTGATACTTGTGTCTTAATATATTGTCCCTTTGCATCCTAGTATTGTTTCTTGTTTTAAAATCTACTTTGTCTCATAGTAATATTACTACTCCAGCTTTCTTTTGGTTAGTGTTTGCATGGTATATATTTGTCCATATTTTAATTTTTAACCATCTGTGTCTTTATATTAATACTTAACGTGGATTTCTTGTAGATACCAGTTGGTTCTTGCTTTTGTTATACAATATGACAATACCTGTCTTTTATTTAGGTGTTTAGAAACCATTTACATTTGTTACAATTGTTGATATAGATGAGTTTGTCTGTCACTTTGCTATTTCTTTTTATTTATCCCATTTGCTTGTTTTTTTCCTCTTTTCTTGCCTTCTTTGGGCTTGAGTAGCTTCTGACCCCACTTTACCTTCATTATTGTTATTATTTTCATATATTTAATTCTACATATGCTACAACCCCCCAATGTACTGTTATGTTTGCTTTAAACAATTATCATTTAAAAAGATTCAAAAATGGAAAAAATGTTTTTTCTAATTTGCCTGTATGTTTATAGTTTCTGGTGCTCTTTTGTGTAGATCCAATTTCCATCATTTTCCTTTTGCCTGAACAACTTTATTTAACATTTCTTGTAGTGTATATCTGCTAGTGAAGAATTTTCATGGCTTTTGTCTAAAGAGTCTTTATTTTGTCCTCATATTTAAGGGATCAGGAAGTAAAGTTGGGGTCTCAGTTCCTCTCCCCTGCTCCTCCTTGAGCAGAGTTCCTGTAGGTATCTGCCTTGTGGCAGGTAGAGGTGAGTTAAGAAGTTTGTGAGAAGCCCAGGGCTCCACTCCCACTCCACTTGGAACCTTTCGTGGCTTCTTGGAGATTCTGGTTGGGCAGTTCCAACTCCTTTGATCTCTGTGTGTCCTAGAGAATATAAATTGGGAAACCTATGTGGATTTGTAAATGGGAGAGAGTGTGAGAAAAAGAAAAATGTGGGGCTGTGGGCAGGAGGGTGTGTTCAGGAAACAACGGTGACCTCTATTGTCTATGTTGTCCCAACAGTTCCGGAACTGTGGAGAATGCAGTCATTCTTTACCCCTTTTGTAGTTTGGAAGTTCTTCCTGAAGTCTAACTGTAGATCGTACTGTCATTGTCTAGAGTTGGAGGATGGATATAATTTCACGACTATGATATGACATGCAGAGAATTGGAAACCAATTAGTTGGCTCCACCCCATGGGAACCTCAGGCCTCCTTCATTTTGACTAGCACCAGCAACCTCACTTTAACACATGAACTATTCTCTCTTAGATGCCAGAGGAGAAACGGAGGCAACCAGGTGAGAACGTGGCAGCAGTGCCTTAAAGAGGCCAGAGTAGCTACTTACCTCTCCCATGCCCTGGGGAGGGCTCCAGGTGTTAGAGTTTCAGAAAGAAGCTGAGATCTAGCAGGGCTCAACCTAATCAATCCCTGGCCTGATAAAGGGAACACCTGGCACATGTGGGGAGATTAGACTGATCTGCTGGCTCCATCATGGGAAGGGAGGAAGGCTCAAGGCAGTGGATCCTGCCCTAGTTAATAACTCCAAAGCTCCCAAAGCACAGTTAAACTTTTCATCAGGCTAACGAGGGAACTCTACCCTCCCGGGGCCATCCGAAAGTGCTCTGTGATGGTGGAATTTGGAGTCCCGGTTGGGGGCTTTCCCACAGGAGACACTCAAGCCCATCCAGTCGCCCACTTCGCCCTCAAGCTCTCGACGCTCTTTCCCACCACCTGGCGACGTCCGAGGTGCCAGCCAGCGCCCAGACTTTCTCTTCCCCTCCGGGCGGGTCAGTTTAGCCTGCCCTGTAAGGTGGGTGTGAGCCGGGCTGGAATCCAGCTCCAGGGCGCGCTGCAGCAGGGCCAGTCTCGACCTCGAGCGCCCTCTGGCGGCGCTGGAGCCTCCGCGCGCGTCTCCAGACGTGGGCATTGGTCCTGAACCCCGCTAGGCCCGCCTGGGCTCCGCTCAGCTCGCCTCGAAAGCGCTGGACAGCGCCCGCCAGGCGGCGGAGCTCTAAAAGCCTGAATTACTACCTCGTCTCTCTCCAGGTCTCGCACTGCGCCTCAGGCTGACGCGCAGGAGGCGCGAGGCAGCCCTGGGTGGCCGCTAGGACGGGTCTCGTGAGGGTCCAGAGAGAGTCAGGGTGCAGCCAAGGCGGCCGCATCAGTGTGGACTTCTAGATGCTCGGCCTGGAGCCATATCCGTCTTTTTAGTCTGCGCGGAGGCACAAGGCTCCTAAAAACAACAGCAGCATGACTTTGTGTATACCTAAAGACTGTGGTGGCATTCAAGGCCAATGATAGCCCATCTGGCCAGACTCAACTGCCGGGGACCCCTGCCTTGGGCCAGAGGTCACTCCTCTGCTTCCTGGTCAATCTCCAGGTCTGGGAATAGAGTAAAGCCAGCGAGGAGCCTCGAGCGTAAACTGTAAGGAGCACTCACTCTCAGGGTCCTGCAAGTGCAGGCGAGTACCGGCTCCACCCTGAGAGTGAGTCTCCTCGCTGCCCCTTCCCTGTCTGGCCTTCACTATAAACCTTAGACTCCCAGAGGGCAGAGACCAAATCTTCTGTTCTCCGGGGACCTGGGCGCTGCAGTGTTCACAGTTGGAGTTCAACAGACATTTGTCAGTGGCCAAGCCTCTTTGTTTCCTCTACGAAAAACGAAAAACGGCCTGGGCGCACCTGTAGACCCAGGTGCTCGGGAGGCTGAGGCAGAGGCTTGAACACAGTAGGTCGAGGCTGCAGTATGATCGCGCCTGGGAATCGCCACTGCACGCCAGCCTGGACGACACAGCGAGACCCCCCTCTCTTAAAAAAAAAAAGAAATCTGGTCTGGGAAGGACAGGTTTCTGTGTGCCACGTGATCCAGCCGAGTCTGGACTTGCTATTTAACAGAGGTGAGCAGATGTGATGTCCATGCAAGATTCAGAAAGTCTGAGCTGGAAAGTGATGGACGTGTAGTCCCACAAATTCTTTATCAGGCGGCGCAACAGACATGGAGAGTGGCGATGAGCTGCAGTTAAGTACACAGTCCCGTACGTAGGGACAAGGCTCCGTAACACGTTGTACCACAACCAGACTAATTCAGCGAAAACCTGGGACACAGCTGATGCTCATCGAGTGAATCGATGCTCTACTCACGAGGCCTGGGACCGTGAGCAGGCTCAATCAATTGCTTTTGCCTGCCCGTAAGTGCTGAGTGCTGATTGGTCCTGGTTTAGGAAACGGAAATAAGGTGTGCACGCGGGGCCGGCGGCCAGAGGGGCGCGCGGCTTGGTGGGAAGCAGTTGTACGCGAGGCGATGGCTTCGCTCAATTGCAGCACGGTGGTTTGCGTAATCTGCTTGGAGAAGCCAAAATACCGCTGCCCGGCCTGCCGCGTGCCCTAGTGAGCGGGGAGGCTGTGGAGGCTGGGGGAGCGCGAGTAACCGGCCGCGGCGGGAGGCGGGGCGGGGGCTGGAGGGGTACGGGAGGGTCCGCGCGGCCTTCGGTGCTGACGCTGCCTGTGGTCTTGTTACAGCTGCTCAGTGACCTGCTTCCGGAAGCACAAAGGTAAGGCCCCGGCTTCCCCGACTCAGCTCTTAGTCCCCTTCTAGCCCGAGACAGCCCCCACGCCCCGCCACCATCTCTGGGGTGCGGACCCCTCAGGCTGAGCTTCCTTCGGGCTTTCCCGCGCCTGACCAGTCTGAGCCCCTCGCTCGGCCCTGCCGGGCTTTCCTGCCGCCCGTTCTACGGAAGCCTTGCTTCCTCAGGCTTGGTCCCTGGTGGTCCAGACCTCTCCCTGTGTGCGCGACTTTTGCCTGTAAATGCCTCTCCGGATTTTGAACGAAGACCTTTCTCGTCTACCCTTTCTTTTCTTCTGTGTGGCCTGCTTTTGTTTAAAAATAGTCGACTGGTCCGGGCGCGGTGACTCACGCCTGTAATCTCAACATTTTGGGACGCTGAGGCGGGAGGATTATTGCTTGAGGCCAGGAGCCAGGAGTTCGAGACCAGCCTGAGCAGCTTAACAAGACTCTACAAAAAAATAGAAAAATTAGCCAGGCCTGGTGGTGCGCGCCTGTAGTCCCAGTTACTCGGGAGCTGAGGCAGGAGGATCGCTTGAGCTCAGGAGTTGGAGGTTGCAGTGAGCTATGATGACGCCACTGCACTTTAGCCAGGGTAATAGAGCCAAGACCCTCTCTCTCTCTCTCTCAAAAAAAGAGTCTACTGTTTTCCCCACAAAAGTCTACCTCAATTGTTAATTCCTCTTCTGGCATAGCCCCTCATCATTTGGCAGAAACACTGGTTGAGGTTAACAAGAACACTTTCTCTCTGAAATACTTTCTTGTTAAAAACAGTGAGGTGGCTCTTTATAATGAGAGAAATCTTTGACGTATTAAGGGAAAAAATGAGCAAGTTCTGTATAAGAAGTGATGTTGACAAATGTATATACATCCACAAATACATGGTTACATATGCACTTTTAAATCTTTAAGTACTGTATCTTTAAGTTGTATAATTTTGAAACGTGCCTGTAGCAAATTCAGTTACCTCTCCTTTATATTTGAATGATCTTCTATTTTTAACATTAATTACATGTTTTCTGAGGGTAAAATACATGTCTGCATTTAATTTTTAGAAAGTCCAAGTCTTAGTAAAACTCATTAGACAATTCTACCATCCAGTACAATTTATGATTAAAAGTTTGATGGAGGCCGGGCGCGGTGGCTCACGCCTGTAATCCTAGCACTCTGGGAGGCCGAGGCGGGCGGATTGCTCAAGGTCAGGAGTTCAAAACCAGCCTGAGCGAGACCCCGTCTCTACCATAAAAATAGAAAGAAATTAATTGGCCAACTAATATATATAATATAAAAATCAGCCGGGCATGGTGGCTCGTGCCTGTAGTCCCAGCTACTCGGGAGGCTGAGGCAGGAGGATTGCTTGAGCCCAGGAGTTTGAGGTTGCTGTGAGCTAGGCTGACGCCATGGCACTCACTCTGGCCTAGGCAAGAAAGCGAGACTCTGTCTCAAAAAAAAAAAAAAATAAATAAAAATAAAAATAAAAAATAAAAATAAAAAAAAATAAAAGTTTGATGGAGAATCTTTCAGATTATTTCATTTTTCTACCAGTATATAGAACTATTTTTTTTTAGCTCTAGAATGTCAGCAATAAAATTATACTCAACAACATCCTTATTTGATTTAATAGTGTATGTTGGGCACTTTTTAAAAACCAGTGTATAGGCTGGGTGCAGTGGCTCACGCCTGTAATCCTAGCACTCTGGGAGGCCGAGGAAGGATGATAGCTCAAGGTCAGGAGTTCGAAACCAGCCTGAGCAAGAGCGAGACCCCATCTCTACTATAAATAGAAAGAAATTAATTGGCCAACTAATATACATAGAAAAAATTAGCCAGGCATGGTGGGCGTGGCTCACGCCTATAATCCTAGCACTCTGGGAGGCCGAGGCAGGAGGATGGATCGTTTGCGCTCAGGATTATTGACCAGCCTGAGCAAGAGTGAGACCCCATCTCTACTAAAAATAGAAATTATATGGACAACTAAAAAATATATATACAGAAAAAATTAGCTGGGCATGGTGACACATGCCTGTAGTCCCAGCTACTCGGGAGGCTGAGGCAGAAGGGTTGCTTGAGCCCAGGAGTTAGAGGTTGCTGTGAGCTAGGCTGACGCCACAGCACTCTAGCCTGGACAACAGAGTGAGACTCTGTCTCAAAAAAAAAAAACAGTTTTGAAGTTCTTCAAAAAACTAAAAATATAACAACCATATGATCCAGCAATCCCACTACTGGGTAAATATTCAAAGGAAAGGAGATCAGTATTATTGAAGAAATACCTACAGCATTATTCACAATAGCCAAGATACAGAATCAACCTAAGTGACCATTAAGAAAGGAATGGATAAATAAAATGTGGTACATATACACCATGGAACACTATTCAGCCATGAAAAAGCCCCATCATTTGCAGCAACATAGCTAAATCTGGAGGATGTTAGTTTGGTGAAATAAACTACTCAGAAAAATGTTCTCACGCATATGCAGAAGCTAAATAAATTGATCTTACAGGAGTAGAGAATAGAATAGTGGTAGCTAGAGGCTGGGAAGGATGGAGGGGAGAGGGAGAGATTAACAGATACAAAATTATAGCTAGACAGGAGTACGTTCTAATGTTCTATAGCACTGTAGAGTAACTATAGCTAACAACAATTTATACTTTCAGATAGCTAGAAGAGAGGATTTTGAATGCTCCCAACATTCAAAAATGACATCAAGAATGATAATTGTTTCAGGTGATGGATATGCTAGTTACCCTAATTACACATTATATATATACATATTGAAATATCACACTGTAACCCATAATTATGTATATTATGTATCAGTTAAAAATTAAAAAGATCCAGCAATGGGAGTCTGATCCAGCAATGGGAGTCTGGTAATATAATGGTCATATCAACCATATAATAAAATATAGTCCTGTAAGTCAATGAGCTAGAAAGAACTGTATTATATACTGGTTTTGTTTGTTTTGAGACAGAGTCTCGCTTTGTTCCCCAGGCTAGAGTGAGTGCCAAGGCGTCAGCCGAGCTCACAGCAACCTCAAACTCCTGGGCTCAAGCAATCCTCCTGCCTTAGCCTCCCAAGTAGATGGGACTACAGGCATGTGTCACCATGCCTGGCTAACTTTTTCTGTATATATTTTTTTAGTTGTCCATATAATTTCTTTCTATTTTTAGTAGAGACGGGGTCTCACTCTTGCTCAGGCTGGTCAATAATCCTGAGCTCAAACGATAGATCCTCCTGCCTCGGCCTCCCAGAGTGCTAGGATTATAGGCGTGAGCCACACCCACCATGCCTGGCCTTCAATATTGTTTTCCATAGTGGCTGTACTAATTTACATACCTACTCAAAATGTATAACAATTCCCTTTGTCTTCATCCTTGCAAGCATTTGTTTTTTGGTGTTTTTTTTTTTTTGTCCCTGTGATAATAGCCATTCTAACTAGGGTGAAATGATATCTCATTGTGGTTTTGCTTTGCTCTGATGATTATTGATGTTGAGAATTTTTTCATATACTTTTTGGCATTTGTATGTCTTAAAACTTCTGAGAATTGTCTCTTCAGATCATTTGCCCATTTTTTTTAATTGGATTTTTTTTCAGCTATTGATTTGAGATCCTTGTGTATTCTTGGTATTAATCCCTTGTCAGATGAATTTGTTTGTAGGTATTTTGTCTCATTTTGTAGGTTGTCTCTTCACAGTGTTGTTTCCTTTGCTGTACAGAAGCTTTTTTTTAGTTTGTTATAATCCTATTTTTGCTTTGGTTACCTGTGCTTTTGAGATTTTATTCATAAAATTTTTGCCCAGACCAATGTCGTGAAGTGTTTCCCTGTTCTTCTAGTAGTTTCATGTCTTACATTTATATCTTTAATCCATTTTGAGTTGATTTTTTATATATATATATAGTGAGAGATAGGGGTCTAGTTTGCTTTTTCTGCACATGGATATCCTGTTTTCTCTGCACCATTTATTGAAGAGTCTGTCCTTTCCCCAATATATGTTTTTGCACCTCTGTTGAAAATCAGTTGGCTGTAAATATGTGGACTTATTTTTGGTTCTCTATTCTGTTCAACTGGTCTTTGTGTCTGTTTTTATGCCAGGACTATGCTCTTTTTTTTCTGAATGTTGTTTCTCAGAGTCTTTTGATGGATTCTCTCCCTTTGCCTGCCTACTAAACTTGTTCTTGGGATCCTGTCCTTATTCCTGGGTGATCTCTTTCACATCTTTTTACTCTTTTCTTTTTTTCTGACACCCAAATCTGTAGCTCCAACATCATTTTGAGCCCCTAGAAACAAATATTTCTGTTTTGTGGTGAGGTACAACTAACACTGAAAATCCACCTCTCCTTCAGTCCCTTCTGCTATATTCTTTACATGTATAGCACAGCCTTAGAGTTAGACCTTGAGTCAAATTCTGCCTCTGCAACTTACTAGTTGTGGACCTTGGATGAGTTTCTTTATTATAAGAAAACTTAATCTTTTCTGCTTTCACCTGTAAGTGGAAGTAAGAGTCTCCATGCCATGGGGGCTTTGGAAGGGTTTATTCTATATATCTTACTGTGTACCTGGCACGATTCTTGGCCCTTAGTAAGTGGTCAGTCACTGGGAGTTGTCGTAACCATCCCCTACCTGATTAGACCCTTTTTCTTTTTCACAGCATATTGTCAAGTCTACATTATAAATATTTCTCTAATCTGGCCTCTCCTCTGTCCTTGGAACACTTTCCCCTAACTATATGCTCTATTGACCCTTAGAAGTTCTTGGTGGTTTTGCCTCTAGTTTCATCCCCTCTAGTCTCTGGTTTACAGCAGGTTTCACACCCTGTACCCCCCCCCCCCAAACACACACTTTGTTCCTAATATCTGTGGGGCATTTTCAAAAGAAACCTTATAGGTCAAGATAGGAGAGAAGTAGAGCTGCTTTGCTGGAAGCAGGATTGGGAGTCTTGGTTCTGAGTACTTCCCTTTTATCCTACAGCCCTGTTGGATTCCTTCAGCAACTATTAGAGCAAACATGAACTCATTACCCTGTGCCCCTACTACTGCCAGGGTGATTTTTCTGGAAAAGCACATGTGAACAGTTCACTCCCTTGTTGAAAACTGTATGGCTGTCAAGCATGGAGGACAGCGTTCTCAACCTGGGTATTGTTGTCCCAAGGGAGACAAATTGCCGCAATGTGTTTTGTTCTTACAGTAACTGAAGAGAGATTGGATGTACAGGCACATCTTGGAAATACTGCGGGACCACTGCAATAAAGTGAATATTGCAATAAAACTAGTCACATGAATGTTTTGGTTTCTCAGTGCATATAAACATTATCTTTAGGCTACACTGTAGCCTGTTAAGTGTGTAATAGTATTATGTCTTAAAAAAAAAGGTACTTATATAAAAAATACTTATATGCTTATAGCTTAAAAAATGCCATCATCTGAGCCTTCAAGTTGTAATCTTTTTACTGATAGAGGGTCTTGCCTGATGGCTGAGCCTTTGATGGCTGCTGACTGATCAGGGTGGTGGTGCTGAAGGTTGGGTGACTATGGCAGTTTCTTAAGATAATAGTGAAGTTTGCGGCATTGACTCTTTCTTTCATGAAAGATTTCTCTGTAGTATGCGGTGTTGTTTGGTAGCATTTTACCCACAGTAGAACTACTTTTAAAATTGGAGTAAATGCTCTCAAACCATGCTGCTGCTTTATCAACTAAGGTTATGTCTAAATCCTTTGTTTTTATTTCAATAATGTTCACAGCATCTTCACCAGAAGTAGATTCCATCTCAAGAAACCACTTTTTGCCCGGGATTATAGGCTCATGCCTATAATCCTAGCATTTTGGGTGGCCAAGGCTAGGAGTTTGAGACCAACCTGGTCAATAATGAGACCCTGTCTCCACAAAAGATAAAAAATTAGGCAGGTGTGGTGGTACATACCTGTAATCCCAGCTAACTCTCTAGGGAGGCTGAGGCAGGAGGATTGCTTTAGTCCAGGAGTTGGAGGCTGCAGTGAGCTATGATGATGCCACTGCACTCTAGCCCTGGCAATAGAATGAGACCCTGTCTCAAAAAAAAAAAAAAAAAACCACCTCCTAGTTCTTTTACTGTTTCCACCACATCTGTAGTTACTAAAGTCTTCAACCCTTCAAAGTCATCCTTGAGGGCTGGAATCTCCTCCTTTCAAATGATTGTTAATGTTGATATTTTGGCATCTTCTCCTGAATCATGACTGTTCTTTATGGCCTCTGGAATGGCGAATCCTTTGCAGAAGGTTTTTGATTTACTTTGTCCAGATCCATCAGAGGAATCAGTATATATGGCAGCTGTAGCTTTATGAAATGTTCTTCTTAAAGAGATGGGGTCTTGCTCTGTTGCCCAGGCGGGAGTGCAGTGGCACGATCATATTCCTGGGCTCAAGCAATCTTTCCACCTCAGCCTTCCGAGTAGCTGGGATTACAGGTGAGCACCACCACACCCAACTACTTTTTAAAAATTTTTTGTAGAGATGGGGGGTCTTGCTATGTTGCTGAGGCTGGTCTTGAACTCCTGGCCTTAAGTGATCCTCCCACCTTGGCCCTAGTATGCTGGGATTATAGGCATAAACCACTGTACCCAGCCTGAAATTACTCCATGATCCCTGGGCTGCAGCATATGTTTTGTTAGTAGGCATGAAAACAATGTTAATCTTGTACATCTCTATCAGAGGTCTGGGGGGACTAGGTACATTGTCAGTGAGCAGTAATATTTTGAAAGGAATCTTTTTTTCTGAGCAGTAGATACCAATAGTGGGGTTAAAATATTCAGTAAATCATGCTGTATTGTAAACAGATATGCTGTCATCCAGACTTTGTTGTTCAATTTATAGAGCACAGAGTAGATTTTGCATAATTGTTAAGGGCCTTAGGATTTTAGGAATGGTAAATGAACGTTGGCTTCAACTTGAAGTCACCAGGTACATTAGCATCTAACAAGAGAGGCAGCTTGTCCTTTGAATCTTTGAAGGCAGACATTGATTTCTCCTTTCTAGCTATGAAAGTCCTGGATGGCATCTTCTTGCAGTAGAAGGCTGTTTTCTCAACAATGAAAATCTCCTTAGTGTAGGCACTTCAATGATTTGAGCTAGATCTTCTGGATAACTTGATGCAGCTTCTATATCAGCACTTGCTGTTTCACCTTGTACTTCTATGTTATGCTAAGATGCCTGCTTTCCTTAAACCTCATGAACCAGCCTCTGCTAGCTTCTAATTTTTCTTCAGCAGTTTCCTCACCTGTCTCAGGCTTCATATAATTGAAGAGAGGACCATCCACTGGATTAGGCTTTGGCTTAAAGGAATATTGTATCTGGTTTGATCTCTATCCAGACCACTAAAACTTTCTCTATTTCAGTAATCAGGTTGTTTTGTTTTCTTATCTTTCGTGTGTTTATTGGAGTAGCACTTTTAATTTCCTTCAAGAACTTTACCTGTGCATTTGCAACTTGGCTAACTGGTTCAGGAGCTCTAGCTTTTGGCCTATCTCAGCTTTTGACAGATCTTCCAAAGTATAACCATTTCTAGCTTTTGATCTACAAAGAGAGACGTATGACACTTCCTTTCACTTGGAACACTTAGAGGCCATTGTAGAGTTATCAATTGGCCTAATTTCAATATTGTTTTGTCTCAGGTAATCGGGAGGCTTAAGGACAAGGAAAGAGATGGGAAAACAGCTGGTCAGTGGAGCAGTCAGAACACAATTTGTTAAAGTTCACCATCTTATATCGATGTGATTTGTGGTGCTCCAAAACATCAAAGGTCACTGATCACAGATCACCTTAACAGATACAATAATAATGAAAAATTTTGAAATACTGTAAGATTTGCCAAAATGTGATAGACAAAGTGAGCTCATGCTATCAGAAAAATGGTGCTGATAGACTTCCTTGATGCAGTGTTGCCACAGACCTTCAATTTGTAAAAAGAACAGTATCTGTGAGGTGTGATAAAGCAAAGTGCAATAAAACTTGGTATGCCTGTATTACTGGTAATTAGTGCTAGTGTGTGAGACAATCTCATACTACTCAACAGTTTCCTGCCCTAAATACCAGTAGTATCCTTGCTGAGAGACACTGGGTCCTGCATTTGGCATGCGTCTGCTTTTGCATTACTCTTGTGCCCCAGCCACCTGCCAGGCCTGCCCTACAAATCAACTGGTAGTTGTTCACCACCATCTATCTGGCAAACCCTCTTCCCCTTGTCTTGGTCTTGTCTCTCAGCCCTCTAAAGTAGACTTAGACCAGACCCTTCTTACCTTATCCATATTTCTAGCAGTCATCCATAAGCCTAAAGCCCTCTGAGGTAGTGGTGGTGACTTTCATTTGTGCACAGCCAAGAGTCACTTACCAATAGGGATATGTTCTGAGAAATGCACTGTTAGGAGATTTTGTCCTGTAGACACGGTAGTGTGCTTATACAAACCTAGATGGTATAGTATACTACACACCTAGGCTATATGATATAGCCTACTGCTCATAGGCTGCAGAGTATACTGGGTACTATAGGCAGTTGGAACACAATAGTAAATATTTGTATATGTAAACATAGAAAAGGTGCAGTAAAAGTACAGTGTTATAATATGTGACGTCATATATGCTGTCCATCATTGACAGAAACATCATTTTTCACATGATTGTATTCCTATGGTACGTGCAAATTTGGTATCTGCAACTGCTGAGAATATCATTTGATGCTCATTGAAGTCAGTGTGCCACTTAATCATGGTGAGAGTCCTGTGAGATTAGGCAGGGCAAAGAGGACAGGGACAGGCTCTTGGGGTATGTGAACCCTACTTCCTCAGCCCTTCTGCCAATCTCGGGCCACTAGTGGTTTTCCTAATGGCCCCCTGCTTTGATCTCTCACTTCCTCCACACCCATCTCCACTCCACTCCAACCACATCCCTTACCCCCAAAATACGCTTTCCTAGATGCTGGCTTAGTGGGGAAGTGTGGCCTTCTGGCTGAGATGCTGGTCATGGGGGCCTGAGGTTGGTGTCTTTTTCAGAGCAGTGCAACCCTGAAACTCGTCCTGTAGAGAGAAGAATAAGATCAGCTGTTCCTGCAAAAACTGTTAAGCCTGTGGAAAACAAAGGTGGGTTGGTCAACTTCCAATAAAGCTTGAAGGGGTTTCAAATCGAATAAGTCAAAATGAAAAAATAAGGGGAGACTGGGCTGGGCAGGGCATCCAGAATGATAGCTTCACTGGAGAGCAACAGCTTCCTGAGCCTTGATGGGCAGGAGTGGGGGCCAGTGTCATCACAGGTGAGGTGAGGGGACAGCCTGAGAACATTGTTCAGGAGAAGAAAAATGGGCAGGAGGCAGAGGGAGAAAGGCCATGGCTGAGGCTGAAGGACTGCAGTGGGCCCTGCTGGCAGGAGCCTTCTCTAGTCACAGCTTTGGGTCTCCCTCTGTGGGTGTGGTTGGGCTGTCATTTTGCCTGAGTTAGGCCTAGGCAGGAGGCTTTTTTTCTCCTAGATCAGCGGTCCCTAACCTTTTTGGCACCAGGGACTGGTTTCATGGAAGACAATTTTTCCATGAATGAGACATAGGGGGTGGCAGAGCTTATGCAGTGATGTGAGCAATGGGGAGCAGCTGTACAGATGAAGTTTTGCTGGCTTGCCTGCTACTCACCTCCTGCTGTTTGGCCTGGTTTCTAAGTTTAACAGAAGACAATTTTTCAATAGATGGTGGGGGCAGGGGTGCGCTCAGGTGGTGATGCGCAGCCTAGTACCAGGCCTCTCGGCCTGGTGGTTGGGGACCACAGTCCTAGATCACCTTGTTGCTGGGGGCTCCTCAGAGCTTACTGCAGTAGTGGGTTGTCATCCTATCCATCTATCCAAATGTTCTTTAATACTTCCTGGGTGTCCTGTACCATCCCAGGCTCTGAAAGCAGCTCTTCTAGTGCCACCAAAGGGGAATTGAACATTCAGAGTAAAGGGATGACCTATTTCTATTTTTTGAGAAACTGCCAGGTTGGATTCAGGCAATTTCTGTCCATGGGAAAAGGGGATTCTGTTTGGAAGATTTGTATAGAGCACCCAGTTTATTGACCCATGGCAGGGCTGCAGCCATGTTGAGGGGAGGAAGGGTAATAAGAATTACAAAACCAGGTTCCAAGCCCCTAGACTACAGGGAAACATAAATATGTAAACAGTAGGATGTATTTGTTGACTTTCCAATTCTTTCACTTATCTTCCTTTTCCTAAAAGAGGAATGTTAATTTAGTCACAAACTCCAGAGGAGAGAAGATTTTGGTTTATCTATACCTGCTTATATACTTCTACCACTGTCACATGTGTGACATACTTTTTTTGTCTGTAGTTAAAATCTGCTGCCTGGGCCTCCTTTTTAGTCATAGCAGTTGATTGTGTTATATTCCTTAGATGATGATTCCTCTGTAGCCGATTTTCTCAATAGTGATGAGGAAGAGGACAGAGTTTCTTTGCAGAATTTAAAGAATTTAGGTAAGTCTGTGCTGTGCTTGTTCATTTCTTTAACCACTGAAATACTTTTACTGTGTAGTGTGGAATGTGGTTTTTAAAAAATCAGTAAATCCTTCAGTGTGGCACGCAAGACCCTTCCTTTCAACCACATGATGCTGTAACATTTATGGTTTTTCATACCTCCCAACCTGTGCACAATGCCATTCCCTCTGCCTGGACTCCTGCTAGTCTCACAGGCTGGCAAAATTCTGTTCCTCCTCTAATGCTTGGGTCAAGATTTCTTTTCTCAGGTAAGCTTGCTCTCTCAGAATTAGGTATTTTTTGGCTTCCCACATGTCTTGAACTTAATAGTAACATACCACTCGCATGTTGTGGTAATTTGTCTCACATACCAATTTGGCAGGGACCTATATCCACACATCCTAAGTTTACCAGTCTACATTAGTGGCTGGACTGTAATCATATGGTTTGATTTTTTTTTTTAGGGGGAAAGGGGTATTGATAATGCCCAGCATTTTTTGTAGTACTGCTTATTCAGTCCTTACAGTAGTTCTGTTATATATGTATATAATTAATGGGCTAATGTAGTTCCTAAAGGTGTGTATTATTTTTATTCTTCCCACTTCACAGAATCAGGTGAAAGGTTATGCTTTGTACTTAGTCCCATGGTAATGATTAGACTGAGGTTAGACCTGAGCTGGTAATAGGTGTGAAAAATTTTATAGACCAAAGTGCCATACAGGTGTTAGTTCACTCCCGGCCCTGTTGCATGCTTAAACATTGTTCAGAGTATTTGGTATAACTGTCCTCACCGCGAACCTTCATGCCTATAAAGAAAGAAAATGCACCAGCAACAAAGGTATGAACAGGAATCTTTTACTGTATTTAACTTAAATCATTTGATATGCCGATCTTACCTTGTTTATATGTGAAGCATTGGGGTTAATTTCTGAGTTTACAGGTTAAGGGGATGCAGCCATCTCCACACGTTCTCACTTGAACTGAGATTGACTTTTTTTGTTAATTTTTAAGAGGAATCTACGGCATTGAGAAGCTTATTGCTCAATCCGCATCTCAGACAATTGATGATCAGCCTTGATCAGGGGGATGACAAAGCCCAGCTTATGAGAGCCTACATGCAAGAGCCCTTGTTTGTGGAGTTTGCAGACTGCTGTTTGGGAATTGTCGAACCATCCCAGAATGAAGATTCTTAAGATGGACTATTGTGCTGCTTACTCAAGCCTGAGGAGTTTGCCCACTCCTCCTCCCAGGAGACCAGCTGGTGTGGCAGGCCCTAAGAGAGGTGATTTCCAGGATGCATGCATACTGGCTGATGTAATGCAGAACTCTCCCCTCCATCAAGGTAGGCTCACATTTCAGGCCCATATCACCTTCATTGGGTGACTTGTCCTCAAGGTGACAAATCCTTTATGGAGAGAAAACTTGACATTCAAATGGTTGTTTTTAAATATTTTATTCTTGGTACAGTTATGATAGATATCATAAATGATGCCAAGTTTTACACCCATGTAAGTTAAAAGCTTGATCAGTGTTACTAAATAAAATCAAGATGTGATGATTTTGTTTTATGTTGTTTATGTTATCATCCTTGGTCCATAATCTAATTATTTGAAATTACATTAAATAAATCAAGAACTTTTTAAATACTAAGGTTTCATTCCTTTAAGGAACTTAAATGCAACTAAATTCCAGAGCCAATTTTAGGCTTGGCCCAAAAGTGCTTATAGGGCCCACTGTGGTGGCAGATAACACTTTAGGAGTCAACATCTGGTGTATGATCTCTAAAGGTAGTGAAATGTGGTAAAGTTCTCTGTGGCCCTGAGGTTTCTTAATCTTGGCTTAGTAACTATCAGCCCTGATACCCTGTCCATGCTTGATGTAGACCGGAGCCATCGCTATTACTCACGTGTGTTTGAAGGCGCTATGCTATAGGCATAGTTTGGCAGCTGTGTGTTCATTAAATGTCTTTGGCAAGGCAGCTGGCAGGAAAAGGCCTTTTGAAAAAACAAAGGCACCAAGGGTCACACGTGGATCAGTCTGTGTCTTTCCAGCAGAATCTGATTAAAACCAGTAACACTATAGGGTGAAGGTTCAGGGCACATGTCAGCATAGCGCAGTGGAGATTTTCTGTAGTGAAACTTGATCGATCCCTAGAGGAAAGAGAGATGCAGTTTAGCCCCAGCTCTCAGGAGTGCCAGTTCTTAAAGGTACCTCACAGAGCAAATGACAGAAATGCAAGGAGTTGTAGACAAATAAATATCAATATGAAGGACTGGGTTAACATTTTTTTCTCCTTATTCTAAAACAGTGGCAAAAGGCCAGGTGTGGTGGTTCATGCTTATAAGTCCTAGCTACTTGGAAGAAGCAGGATCACTTGAGCCCAGGAGTTGGAGTCTGCAGTGAGCTATGATTGCACTGCTGCAGTCCACCCTGGGTGACAGAGCAAGACCCTGTCAATCAATCAAAATATAACTAATAAAAAAATAGTGGCAAAGTCCAAAGCAGTATTAAAACATAAAATTTCACATCCATTCAGTGTGAGACAGATGAGGAAACACTGGTTTACTCAGCAGGGTTAGGGGTAGATCATGTCCCAGCCCCAGTCCTGCTCCCTCTGTGGACTTTTAGGCTTTGCCTTCCACAGTAGGGTATGAGGAATGGGAACTGTTGGGCCAGGATGGCCATCCTGTCACACACAACCTACCTGAGGCAGTGCTCGGATGGACGTGACACCAGCCTGGTCTTGTTGTGCTATCTGGACAGTGTAGCCACGGGGGCTGTCCCTGGGAAGCTGAAGGCAGGCCCAGACCACCAGTTTCCTCTGAAAGCCTTGTATTCCTGTAGCAGCATTGGCCAGGACCAATCCCAGGGGCCAGAGGCGGATTATTGCCCCCAGGAGCCTGGTCTGTATTGGGGGCTGTGGGGAGGAGCTGGAGGAACGAGGAGCTTGAGAGAAGTGTTCTTCTTCTATACCATCCAGTTCTTTAGAAGCAAGGAAGGCCATTCTGATCTTAAAATGGAAACCAAAACTATCTTTAATAAATCATTGTAAGGTAAATTAAAGGCACTTGGCTGCAAATAGGTGGATGCCCTGAACTAAAATGGTTCTATGGGATAGAAGTCTGTTGCCCAAGGCAACTAACTGTGCTTAGACCTTACATACGCTACTTTAAAATAACAGTCTCAATGAGATGAAACTGTTATGTCATAAAATTCACCGTCTGAAAGTGTGCAGTTCCACAGTGGGTATATTCCCAGAGTTGCTTCTGCTACTCTTTTCCTTCACAACCACCCTGCAGTGTAGGTGGTGTCATGCACCTGCCTGGCCTTGGGGCTACCCTTATTCCACCTGGGTCTGTCTGGTCCGAAACTCTCTAGCCACTGCCCACCCTGACTTCTTGGGGCACACTTACTCTCCACTTCTGCCATGCACGCTTGATGGTTGTAGCAGCTGTGTGCAGCCTTGCGATGTGTTTCCGAGCTAACCAGGAGCGAATGGCTAAGAGGTTTGCCCAGAAACAGGAAAGAGATAATAAAATGGTCATTAGAACTATCAGTAACCTGGGTCTGCAGCAATACCAGAATTGCTATAAAAGTTTGAAATAGTATTTTTTCAATGACTATTTTGTGTGATGACATAAAGTAAGGTTCTAAAGTCAACATATAAAGCAAAATTGGCTCTGAAAAACATTCTTCAAATTGCCCGTACACTTGGAGATAGCTACATGTTGAAGGGGCAGTGGGGAGCTTGGACTGGCTAAGGCCCAGCAGTCACCTCCCATCTCAGGTGCAGCCCAGGGCAAAACCCAGGGGGAGCAGGTCTGGACTGTCTGTACCTCTTATAATCCTCTTTGTTTTGAAAATCCTCAATTGAATTTGTTTGCTTAAATTTTTGAGCCTGTGATAGCATACTACCATGTAACCAAACACTGATAAAAGTAATTATTGGATGGTAGGATTTTTCTTTCTTTTTACATCTGTGTATTCTGATTTTTTTTTTGGTACAGTCATATTTGGAAAAGTGGTTATTCCATTAAATAGTACTTATGCATTTAGATTCTATTAACAGAAAATTTAAAACCTTGAAACATAAAAATCACCTGTTACCTCACCAACCCAAATGGTTTCACAGTATTTCCTTACATAATTTTTTAATCCCTATACCCACAGAAACACACCCTTGATGTGTAGTTTGACAAGCAGGTATGAACACATTGAAAGTGGTTTTCCATTAAATGCATAATATTCTTCAAATACTTAGCTGCATCATAGGGATGGTCCACAATTTAGGCATGACTCCACTGCTCTTAGATATCTGGGTTGTTTCTAAATACTTTTATTTTTCAGTAAGACTGTTATAAACAAGTTGGTTCACACATCTTTCCCTCTGATGAGATCTTGTTGGCTTTTTACCTTCTCCTTAAACTTATCTCAAACCCTGCAGCCTAGCAGGTAATGATTTGAGTTGTAATAAAAAGAAAAAAAAATGTTGGCATAAACAGCCATTTAAGTCTGAGAAAAACTTTTAGCCTATACTACCTACAAAGCATCCTTATTTGTGGTATGATCTGGTTTCCACAGAACTGGAGAAACATTATGGGCAAGGTGGATGAGAAATCCGAATACCAGGGCACCACAAGGACGTACCATCCACCTCTTCAGGCTGGAACAGTTGGCTTCAACAGATGGGCACCCAATGAGCAATGTTTCAAAGGAAACCACTGTCATGGGCATATGTATGCAATCACTGACAGGGGGCCCCACCCCACCTACCTGCTTGGATGAGCACAGCAGCTCGCCTCTGCCTCTGTTGCTTTAGGTGCTGGTATCGCCTCCAGCTACCCTGGATACAGCGGGCACACTGCTCTAGCACCTGGGCACGCCCACATTCCAGAACCTCCAGCTGGAACAAAGGGTATCCACTGAGGTCCTCATGTTCTCCTCCCCCTTCCCTGAGCAGGGCCCAGATCCTGTCCTGTTGAGAACATGCAGCTGGCTCCTGTAATCTCATCCCCACACCAGCTTACCACAGAGTCCGTCATGAACACCTTGGTCCTGCCACAGTGTACTGGGGCTGGCGTGGCCTCATCCGAGTCACCAGGTGTGGCTGCTGCCTGAGTTAGAGCTGGCAGAGTGTGGAGAATGTCCTGGAGAAGAGGTTGAAGTGTGGCCTCCTTGCCATTTGGAGACCGTTCTGGGGAAGGAGAGATGGGCCCCATCAATGCCTGGTCTTCTCTCCATGCCTCTGTGGCCTTAAGAAATTGGCTCTGGCCTTTCTGCTACACCCTGGGGTGTCATGCAGTCTCCATTGCCATGGGTCTCTTTGGACAGGCTGGCAAAAGGGTACTTGATGCCTAGAAGAGTGACCCCTTTGAACATGTAATCAGGCTGCTCAGCCAGCAGGTTTCAAGGCCCCAAACATCCTGATGGCCAAACAGGGAAGCCAGGCCACTCCCTCCCACTTATGGGAAAGGGGAAAACAAATCCCAGCCCTGTGACAGCCCAGTGGGTTCCACTGCCTGCCCTCCCCCACTTCTCAGGGCTGACTCCTACAGAGGGAGGATTTACCTGAGGGCTCTGACCACCTTTAGCTGCCCAGTGCCTCTCTGGAGACAGAGGCTGCCAAAGGAGATGCCGGAGATGAGAAACAGCAGCAAAATCAATCAGGGGCCAGAGGGGCTTTGGGTAAAAGACACAGAACAGAGGAGCAAACCATGGAAAGAGGGAGGAGAAAGGAGAAAGGGTGAAAGGAAAGTGATAAAACTCTGCCCAAGAGGGGAGAAAAACAAAGCAGAACTGTCTCAACAGTCTGATGGACCCCAGGGTATGTTGGGTGGGAGGGGGGAGCAGCTGCCTCTTCTCTCTCCACCTGCTCCTGGACCTCAGGACTCCCCCAGCCTCATTTATTCCCATATGCTGACAACCCCAAAATCAGGGCCACAAGCCAGACACTTCCTTTGAGAGTAAAGCTTGCCCCAGCCCCTTGCAGATGCCTCCACTGGATGATTTCCAGGGACTCGGAGGTCAGGTCTGCCATGGCAGGGCTCATCAGCTTCCCCAAACTGCTCTTCCTCTTACCCTTCACCACTAGCCGGGCCTGTGCCCACATCTCTTGCTGCTTTCTTCTGGGGCAACTTCCCAACCTTACTCCCACAGCCCTCCATGGAACTCTCTGAGTGGTCTCCAAAAGCAGGAGGCTGACAGAGTCACTTGCTCCCTCTCCTGCAGTAGCCCCCATCTGTCCAGAGAATAAAGTCCAGGTTCCTAGACTGGGCCCCCCCTGCCCCAGCCTCACCTCCCACCATTCTCTGCCCTAATGAGCCAGCAATACTGAATGGCCTGGAGTTCCTCACACCCACACTGCCGTCCTAAGCCTCTAGGCCTCTGTTCATGTAGTACCTCTGTCATGTGGAACACCCTTCACCTAACCCAATTTATCCTCAGACATCACCTCCTCCAGGAATCCTTCCCTGATTCACATCTCCCCAGCACCACCCACAGCATCCTGTTCATAGCTGTGCCTTTCCACTTTCCACATTGTTTGTCTTTTTCAGTTGT